CCGATCGACGCATTCTAGAAAGTACCTGTTTAATTGAGAGTTAGCTAGCACTCGCGAGTACGTTGTGATGTCGTTGCACTTTCTCCCTTACGCCGCACTGCATAAGGCTCATTTTAGAATGAGCCGCATTACTCGACCTCTGTCGCGACCCGCGGTGCTCTGGCACATTTGGTCTCTAGCATTCACGGTTCCGTTTCGAGAGCGTTTGTGACGAAGTAAGCATGACAAACATTGATAAAATTCAAAATTCAATATCGTTTATTCAATCTAGGCTGTTACAAGCACTTGTGAATGTCGAAAAGCTACGCCATCAGTTCGCAAATCTACGGCGGGAGACCTTGTACTGAGAAGTACCGGCAAGAAACTCGGCAAGGGCTGTTTTTTTTCGTCCTGTATTATATACAGAGTCGTCAATTTGAAAAATGACTTCAATATGAGATAACTCATGAAGTCACTTTCCATTACAAATGTAAATGCTAAAACAATTATGACTATAAAATAAAAAATATAAAAAACAGATTTTAAAAAAAGTTTAGGAATGCCGTGTCCTACTGTTTAGGCATAAAAACAAATACATATACAGATAAACCTAACAGTTATCATATTGGTCAACCAGGGGGCCAATCGCCTAACGGAAATGCTTTGGGAAACGCTAACGCTTAGGATTTTATATTGTTATTTCTAGCCGCCTGAGGTTTTCGAATACCTCACGCTCATTTTTTTTAATATTGTTATTACCAATGCAAAAGAAAAAGAAAGGGCGCGAGGCATTTGAATACCTCAGGCGGCTAGGAATAACAAAATAAAATCGTAAGCGTTAGCGTTTTGCCAAAGCATTTCCGTTAGGCGATTGGCCCCCAGGACCCTTCCTCAGCATAATAACAACATATTGAGACACAGTTACTGCCTTAAGGGCAAAAATATGGGACTACCATGGTTTCTTTTCACCTATTTTTAGCATAGTATCAATTTTATTGAATAAAATTAAAATGATATTGGTATTACCAAAATTATTTTAAAGCCCTTCTGTTGAACAATATGAAGTACTTTATTATAATTATATTATATTAACTTTATATTATATTCGTTTATTACGTGGAGTCATTGGTTTTTTTTTCCTCCATTCGTATTGTTTTATGTTTATTCAAGATCAATTGTAACAGATGTTGGGTCAGTCAAATTTAAATGCGGTTATATTTCAAGTAACGTGTTCAGTCACCAGTATTAAAAATAGGAATCAATATAACTACACGCCTGGCCCCTAACACAATCTCGAAACAAAGAATTAAACAAAAGTTAAGACTACGCAGAAGTAATTAGTTAATGTAAACAAAACACACAACGCATGGCGGTCAATCCTTATCACACATAATAATGGGGCCCGGTGACGCGAGTTTCGTGAGAACTCTATAACATAATACATTTATAGAGCGTTACTTCCATGTTACTTCCAAACATAGATGAATGATTGGTCTCGCTTCAGTCGAGTGAAGCGAGACCAATCATTCATCTATGCTTCCAAACTGCAATGTTTTCATGACTTTTACAGCACTTCGTAAAACTTGTAATACGAACATGAATTGGGACGATTCTTGATACTAACAGAATTACTTCCGTACAAAAAATGTTCATAAGAAACGAAAAAAGCCCCACTAATTATTTTGTATCAACGTAGATGCGCTGTATACGAGTAAGTTACATTATTTTAGACTAGCGACCGCCCACAGTTTCACCCGCGTGGTTCCTGTTCCCGTGGAAATATCGGGATAGAAAGTAGCCTATATTAGTTAGTCCACTACTTGAAATCCCTACATACCGAATTTTATCCAAATCCGTTCAGTAGATTTTGTGTGAAAAAGGAAAAACAGATTAACAAACAACCTGACATACATTCATTTTTATATTATAATTATAACTAGCAAACCAGTGAACCAAATATTCACCAAAACCTGATTTCTCGAAAACCGGAAGTGCTACGTTACTCAAATCCGGTTTGTAGTCTTATCAGACTATTCTTAACTTATAACTTAAATATTCTCTTTATCTATCTCTTACGGTTTAGCCGCTGAAACAGCACCACAGACAGACGGACTTGTCTAATAGATAATTACTAGCAAACCAGTGAACCAAATGTTCACCAAAACCTGATTTCTCGAAAACCGGAAGTGCTACGTTACTCAAATCCGGTTTGTAGTCTTATCAGACTATTCTTAACTTATAACTTAAATATTCTCTTTATCTATCTCTTACGGTTTGGCCGCTGAAACAGCACCACAGACAGACGGACTTGTCTAATAGATAAGAGATAATATTAGAAGGCATGATCACTAAACCGATTTCAATGAAATTTTCAGAGACATAGTTTACCTTGGGAATGGTAAATCTACTTTTTATCGACGAATTATACAAACCTTCCGATTCATGCAGAACTTAATCCGCAGTTTATTTATTCTAGTCGAGCCAGTGCTCTGACCATTTATTCGAACTTAGTAATACATGTAAATGTTTATTAGGACAACATTTCATACTAATCTATACATCGTTGGGATAGTAAAATCCGCGCATTGGATAATTTCGCGTATCTGACAAAATTTTAAATTACGCAGGTAAAGCTCTTGAAATACGTAAGTCCATAACGTACAACTTTGAAAACTAAAAAAGTGTGGATACACGGATTTTACGTATGGAAGATTCGCGGATTTGCACTATCCTCGACGATTTGTAACTTCGTGTTCCCAGTACCTAATCGATATGATAATGCTATAGGATAGTATTGATAGAATTGATCGAAAACTCTACTTACCATGGTCTTATATTATTTAGGGAACAATGCAGTTGTGGCGAACATCATCGTTGGGTAAGTTTAGGTAATGTAATTATTGCCCTGATTAAAGCATGGAAACAACAGTTCATTTTAATATTTTTGAAGTTATACTTCTTTAGCCGCGTTATGAAAAATTTATGAGAGTGAAATTTTCATCACTGTAACACAAAATTTTAACATATTGAAGTTAGCCGCGGGCGCGTTATTTGTAATATTTTATTTTCCAAGTGACCGTGGGGCAGATTTGAACAAAGCAAACAGGGCAGATTTGAACGGGACATTGAAATGAAATGAAATGAAATGAAATGACATTTATTATTAATTTATTGTAATTAATTATATGCATGCAATTAAAAATTAATTTTAAACGGTGCCAAAGAAGGATAACTTCTCACGCGCCTACATAAGTACACGCACCCATTTTTTATTATGACATTTGTTTCATCATCATCATCGACCCATGTTCGTCCACTGCTGGACATAGGTCTTCCCTAATGCCCGCCACTGCTCCCGATTTTGTGCTACTCTCATCCAGCCCACTCCAGCCAGCCTACGAATATCATCATCCCATCTTGTCTCAGGGCGTCCTACACTACGTTTACCGAGTCGCGCGCGCACATTTGTTTACGAGAGGTTTATATAAATAAAAACATAACACCTTTATAATAAATCAATTAGGTTTTTAAGGTTTTTATGGTAAAATAATCATGTTTTATTATTACGACACTATTATTCCTTCTACTTTGCAAAAATGAAAAAAAATATCCTTTTTTCTTGGTCTGAGAAAAATGCTCGGCTCGTTGTTATGGCAACGCGCTCGATGACCTCGAGCACGCGTATCAGATGCTCGCATCTCGTTATCCGGCATTGATTCTCTAGCAACTTAGAACGTATTTTTACGATTTTTTTGTATGAGAAGCCTATTTGATTTTTATAGCAATGGAAAGCTAATTTTATAGACTGTGCAATGATGCTTTTCAAAATGAATTTATATAATCACAAAATTCACTATCGCAAATCTAGCGCAACCTTTAGTGCTAGACATTTTAGAGATTTGGAAAAAAGAATGTAAATAATATATCGTCTTTAGAATCTACATAAATATTATAAGTAAAACTTGGTCGCTAGAAACAATATTATCACCACAGTAACATTTACAAGTTTACGCCGTCGAGGGGAATTTATAAAACCGCGCGGGCGAAAATTCAAACGCATACTTACTTATAGTTATGTTTTTATTTTTTAAGCATTTAACTGCTAGATGTTTAATCTAAAAAGTTTTAATAGAAAAAATCCACGCGGACCAGGTAGCAGACGGGACTCGAACCCGCACCCTTCGCAATCCGGGCGAATGCACTGACCAATTATGCTACCGCGGCCCTGATGGCCGCGTCGAAATTTTCCTATCCTTAAGCTGCAAGGCAGCGCCATTTCTTCGCATTGTAGGTAACCCACAATGTCAAATGAATACTTTTTTAAGTATTCAACATTTGAAAGAAGAAATAGCATTTTTTATAGTTATGTTTTTATTTTTTAAGCATTTAACTGCTAGATGTTTAATCTAAAGAAAAGTTTTAATAGAAAAAATCCACGCGGACCAGGCAGCGGACGGGACCCGAACCCTTACTTGTTGTTTTTTTTTATATGGGAACCAATTTATGTTCTGCTATTGTCTGAAAGGATTTTTCATGTAGTTTCTGAAAATATACTTTTGTTGAACGTTTTTTCTTCAACTTGAATCTATAAATCACATTTTATTACAAGCAGGCGCATTATTCTAGCAAAGGCGGCCTCGAATGACGATAAAAAAACACGTCTTAGAAATCTCAAACAGTCGTAAGTTGATAGCCTGATTCATATTCTTCCCAGAAATGTAACTCAAGTCCATGTGTAACTATAAACATCTGGTCGTGAGAACGAAACAAAGGCCCAAGTGCTTAGCAGCAAAAAACTGTGTCGAGTGGAGGTATGTGAACCTTTTTTTTTGGCGCGCGGGCGGTCCTTGAAACATGAAATAGAGTAGAATCAGTGGCGGAATTTCGTTTAAAATTCGTTCGTTACCAAAAGTTTTATTTCAGAGAAAGAGGGTAAACCTCCTGCTATGTATCTATATGATAATTAAAGTTATGCTTTTTGTTCATTTTAATGTTTTCTCTGACGATATTATAACATGCAGGGTAATCCGATATCCGCAGCGGGGACTGCCGCCGGCACTGAGCAGCGTAGAGCTGATGGACTGCAGCGACGGCAGGATAAAGTAACAACTTATTATTAAACTTCATACATTAGTATAAAGGTAGCTCAGACCAAGAACTACAGGTCGCGGCACGTAACTCTAAAGTCTAACGCTGAACAAAACGCGTCAGGGATATCTGCATGGGTACGACTGGAGAGACAATCGGCGCAACCAGGGTTGGCAAACTTAGACTTTTTTTCCTCGTACATAAGCAGCTAAAAATCTCGTATTTTAGCTTTCGAACCTCGTACATTTTTTTTAATTCCTTAATTTAAAGGGTTTTATCTTTTATAGACCATATCGTTCTAACATTGTGTCGTCTTCTTAAACAGATTGATATGACTTTATACAAATCCTTACTTGTTTTAGAAAGGAGACTAGATAGTATGCTATTATATAATCCAACATCCATTACTGTCAGCTCCGGGAATTAGTTAAAAAAACGGGTATCTTTCTACTACAACCATCACATGTCACACACTCTCGACCATCTCACACTATAATAAGTACAATTTGGAGAGTTCATTTTCTCGTCAAAAACCCAAAGCTATTTCAAGGTATGTGATCAGATCGGAGTATTACATTCTTAAACATGTCAAATGTAAGGTATATTAAAATATTGAATTTAGGACGTTTAAGAAACTGAAATGGACTATTGCAAGTTCGCTACTAAGTAAAACATGTATTTGTATTAAAAATAATCACATATTACGTAAAATAACAAAGAAAAACGGGCGCAGCGAATTTTCCGGTCGAATTGGAGCGAGCGGCTGGGGAAGCAACCTCCACCTTACAGAAGACAGACAGACAGACAGACACAGTGAAATAACAGCACTATTTGGTGGTGTTGTGTTTCTGCTGGTGAATAGGGTTCCAGGGCACCACGAGGTAGGGGATTGGGTCAAGGCCGGCTAGGTGAGGATCGCAGGAGCGGCACACTTTCTGCCGCATCATCTATCTTCGCAACTGGACTCCACATACACTTAACATCAGGTAGGAGTGGGGTAATTTCTTGCACCACTTATAAAAAAATGTCTTATGTCGTTAGATGGCGTTGTTATATTTAGTGGTAGAGTTAAAGGTGTTTGTAGATAGCGCCGCAATATAGTTTAATAATAGTCCATATAATAATTTATAAAGTCATGTAATGTAACCGTTTGTTTTTTAGATTCTTAGCACCTATATGATAGCATTTCGTGTATTTCCATGCGATATCCTGGTACTTAGGTGCTTGTTCGGCCTTGGCAATTTTATTAAATTATCAAATTACAACGCCATCAAGGAATTATTTTTAGCACTACTATAAAATGAAAAAAGCGCTATATAACGGCACTTAAATCTTTCTTGAAAGAAAACAAGTCACGGATGAAATATCATGATATAAATTTCTCAGACAAATCTTGAAATCTCGTACAAAACTGTACGAGATGTGAAGTGTCCTCGTACCTCGTACGGTAAACCAGAAATCTCGTATTTGTACGAGAAATCTCGTACGATTGGCAACCGTCGGCGATACGCACGCCCGCCCGCGCACCTCTGTTTCCCCCCAACACATCTTCGTTTTTACTTCTGCGCAATAACGGTCAGCGCTAGAGTTTCGTGCCGCGACTTATAAAGCATAGACCCTTATTAATAAATGAAGAAGAAGTCTGGATTAGTTACTTCATGTTTTGTCTCTTTTCATCGAAAGACAAATGGTATTAGAGTGACATAAACAAAACATGGCATAACTACTCTAAGCTTATTCCCTGTTTATTAATAAGGCTGAGGGAGTTTAAATCGACTTATATAGTTATCTTATTTCTATATATAGACAAGAAAAGAGACCAATATTAGGTTGCCTATGAACAGCGTGGGTAGCACTAAACAAACGTCAAATTGGATGTCTTTGGCCTTTGTACGCCTTGTTAGCTTGGTCGCCTTTACGATACCGACTCATAAAGCGATCTAATGTCATATGCAACCTGCTAACACGCCAGTTATACTTTTTGGTCGGGTAATAGGTATAGTCTGCAGAGGTGAACGCTCAATCGTCATTATATTACTTCTTCATCATCATCATCATCAGTTTATTAATGTCCCCAGTGCGGGGGCACGGGCCTTCCCTATGGATGGGATAGGGAGATTGGGTTGGGATCCACCACGCGGGCCCAGTGCGGATTGGTGGGTGCTAACGACTGCAGTTGCAGCCGGGACCAACGGCTTTAGTGTTGGGGTGTTTTTATTTTTTTAAACTATTAATAATATTTTTCTTTTTTTAATTTATTACAAAACATAGAACGAGATTATTGCGACTGAATACGTATCCTCTCCATTTCCGATAAGGCTTCACTATTGCAAGACTTTTTTATTACCCAATAAGACTCTAGTAGGCACTCCAAGGTTCCATCAGCCACTTTCCAGTCCCATCATCAGATCAGCTCGATGGTACAATAATATTGTATTGTCATCTAATCTACATATAATTGCCAAGTTTTATTATGTTAAGAAAAATCTAATGAGCCCAAACTCGATGTTTACCAGTAGGCAAATCAAGGTTCCATCAGCCACCTTCCAGTCTCATCATCAGACTAGCTCGGTGGTACTGTAATATTTTATTGTCATCTAATCTACATATATTTGAAAAGTTTCATGATGATACAAGAATTAGAAGTGCGTGTAAGTCTGATTCTAAGATTTCATTACATAGTTAATCATATTATTTTTTCATTTTCATTATTATTAATCCTGGCGATCCTAATAAGGATAATGAGGTAAGCTTATCAAAATATTGTATTTTCGTCGATCGCTGATAAGTTTAAAGTAAATCTGATCGCTAAAAGTTGGGCAAAATCGAGTCCAAACGAGTCAGTTACATACATACAAATAAACAAACATACAGGTGAAACTAATATGGAAGGTGACTTCAGACGTATCTCTGAAGTTATTTTTCAACTTGACGACTCTGTATATAACAATACAGGGAGAAAAAAACAGCCCTTGCTGAGTTTCTTGCCAGTTCTTCTCAGTACAAGGTCTCCCGCCGTAGATTTACGAACCGATGGCGTGGCTTCTTGACCTTCACAAGTGCTTGTAACAGCCTACACTGAATAAATGACTTTTCATTTCATTTCAATACGTGTGAAAAAGGTTACTTTTTTGGAAAACAGATTATTCAACGTGGACGAAGCCGCGGGCAGTTTCACCGGGCCTTGGGGCTGGATGAAATGAAGAAAGATGCGTGGGCAGAAGTCTTCAGATACTCTAATCGCGCTTCTTCAGGGAGATGTAAGCCATTTCTAAATGGCTAATTTAAGTCCCAAAAAGGAGGAAATTAAATCTCTTATTTATCTAGTAGGTACTTATTTTGATTTCTCTTGTCACAGGATGGAGTCCAGTTGCCTGCGATTTAAATCAAAACGCAAAAGTTAACGTGGTAAGTAAGCTGCGACATCTGCCGGCAGGCGACGAAATGAAACGAATGCTTACAAAATATTTATAATTTATTCGTATCAATTTTACAAGGTGTTTTTATTCTATTCACTTTACAAAACTTAGAGAGCGTTTTCGTATGGCACGATTGTGACGGTTTGTGACTAGAGAACAATAAATTTGTGTCGTGTTATGTCAAAATTTATTAAAACAATGTGAATTTTTTATAGCGAATAAATTTTTCGGTTATGCCCTAATCTGTGTTTTACTAACTTAATAATTAACTTAACTAGTTAAATTTAGAAGTCGATATAAATCTAGCAATTACTAAATTAATTACATAAATCTTTGGTCACATTGAGTGTAGAAAGTCTTAATTATATCTAAGCGGGTGCCATGTCGTGTCACTTTAAATAATGTTTGTGCGAAATGGAATAAATTGCTTAAACCACAGCTTTCATAATACTTCGTTTGCTTTGGCTTACAATATTGTCTGTCGTTTCTACCAGTTGATATTATTGTTATGATTAAAGCTTTCCATTTTAAAAGTATTAAATTTATCGTGGTCACAAATTAAATAATACCAACTGATTTGAAAAAAATCACCAAAAGCGCAGTCGAGTCATCTTCAGAATACCTATTTTCTCGATATTATATTCAGATTATTTCTTTGGTGTTAATACGGTGGGTTAACGGTGAATATCGTAATAATTTTAATATATTTTCTGTTTTAAATTGATAACAAAATAGCATCCATGTTCTCCATAGACACCTGAATTTAACAATATTAAAAAAAAACCATGAACATTTGCCAGTCCATGAAATTAGCACAATATCTAAAACTTTTCCAATCGATTATGAACATTATTTCTCTCGTGTTTAAGCAAACAATCAATTGGTAAAGCCTGCCAGTATTACGTCAACTGCGCTGGTGGGTTCGTATTTGGAATAATATTCGAGAATGTTCGATCGAGACTTCGTGTCGCGCTCGCTTAACTAACTTAAACTAACTTGTACTTTCGCGTGTCGAGAAAAAAAAATATTTATAAAACTAACTTAACTACTAAAAGAGATGGCATGAATTTGTGCTACAGGTAAGTAACTAGATATAAGCATAGCGTCGCTATCATTTCAATGAGTCGTGAGTATAAATAGGCTTATTTCAGGAAACACAAAATCTTTTATTTTATTTTTCAAAAGGCTTCATTTTGTGTCTCCTATATAGAGATTCATAATAGATCCCAGGTATTTTTAACAATACGACCTTTTTTACAATATTTTAAAACTAAAATTAAAGTTATACAATTTTGCATACGACATTTTGAGATGACAGCGACGATAGGTAGAATTACGTGTCAGCAACTGAAATCTTACTTGAATACAGAGAAATGTCCTGTGTGTTTTAATATGTGCTCAAATAACAAAGTGAACTCGTATTCTAAGTATAAGAAGAATTTTAAAAGATTTGATGCGGAAAAGCGGAGACTGTCATGACACTTGAAATATAACTTCTACCGGTCATGAAATATTACGCATAAATCTTTCAACGCGCCTTATCCGATGACGTATTGATGTTTAAACAATTTTCCATTTTGTGATCACGATAGCAGAGTTACTTTTCAAGTGTCATAACGTTGTGAGCGCTTCTTAACGTGTGAGCTAACACACACTGCAAGCGCATAGCGTGTCTTCTAAAATTTCATTAAAATTATCAACATGTACTTTATTTAATTTTTAATTTTAATATATAATTAATTGGACTATTGAGGTGTAAACCAACTTTTAACTCTATAGGACATAGATGTCGTTTGTATAAAATATAAATCACTGACAAAAATACTTTATAATAATCTGTATCTTATGGTTTGTAAGGTCGATATTGCTATATCTAAGGCAAGTTAGGACGACACGTAATGTCTGTATGACGAAAATTTACATCTCCAAGTCTTCAGCGTTGTAGTAACGCATGAAGACATATTGCTCACACGCACTTTCAACATATCTCATTATATATACTTTTATATAAAAAAAGGAAACAAAATCATCAGTAACAATCAGAATAGAAAACATGGAATAGGGGTCCTTCGACTTAAATTTAAAGCTTATGGTAAACTAATAAATAAATTAAGTAACAGAAATTTATCTAATGTACGCAAAATTTGGCACTAATCTAATACTTAACGTGGCTTTACATCGGGAAATGCATAAATTATATATTATTTAAAAATGCATCATTCACTACGCGTATAAATACTCACCAATGTAAATATTATAAAAAGTTTTCAACACAAACTATTGAATAATATATATAACATTCCAAGTAATGCGGTACAAAACCGGACTGTATATTGAGCCAATAATAATTATAAAAACTAAGTAAAACAATTTAGAGAAATCATTACAATAATCTAAAAAGAAAAATACATCAAAATTTATTTTACTAAAGTCGCGGTTGTGTACCTTTACGTCATAAATGGATTGTGTTATGCAAAGTGTTTTTTAAAATGTTATAGTGGGACTTCAGTCTTCAATTACCATATCAAAACAACTATTTTTAATTTAGCAAAATAAAAAGGTTACAAAAGGGCCTTTGAATTTCAAAATAATTACTGTTCTATGAAAAATTAATTTATAAAATCAAACAAATCTAACACAAATTTAGTCAGATAACACACTTCTGCATAACACGACCCAAGTTTATAAAAAGAGTAACATGTCAGTCTTCTCGATATCAAACCGAGTTTTAATTTAAAGACGGTATTCCGTGAACTGCAGTCGTTTGTTCAAGGCAGGTCTCGGGCTAACCCGCGTCCTACTAGCTGAAGTTTGCACAACGACGCCGTTTCTCCTCGAGGGGAACTGATAATTTACACAAAACCAGGTTAATATCAACATCATCAATGCCTGCGAAATCGCAGACCTGTCATCTGTATTTAAATAGGGTATTTGACAGTATTAAAAATAAAGTGCCAATTGTTAGCATCTGTGTTTAGAATGAATATTGGTAGGGGTTTTTACATAAATATTACTAAAAACCCACGAAAAAGATAATAGTTTTCTTATCTATTGTCACGTGACCCAAAACGCTTGGGATTCACGCTTGGGAAAATGACGTCACACGCAAGTAAACTTCCGGTTAAAGTGACATTACATTGTATCGTTTGACGTTTTAACAACAGTCGTGTGACGTCACACACTAGTAAGACGCCATATTGTCCAGAGAAACGTTTTCGCGGCAACTTGAAAATGGAGTTTTTGATTTGGTAATTTTTACTGAAATACCCAACAGAGTGATGAATATCCACTTTTTACGGACTCCATAAACATGACTAATGTCTATGATAACGTGAGATCGTTTTCTAAAACTTGTCAAATACCCTATTGCGATTTGTTAGCCCAGAGTGCAGTTTGAACTACACCGTTAGCACAGGAAGAATAAAATCAGGCAATTTTAACTCTTATATTGTTTTAAACTTTTATGGTCACTAACATTATAGTAAGATAAGTTATTTACGGGATTGTTACCAATGTACCTTGTTTTTAGTAAGTTTCCGATATTTCGGCACTGTTGCAAGCGCCATGATCACGGAGTGACTGAAGTAATTGCATATCGGTCTGCCAATAACAGCCTACCCTACCTATCGGAAACTCGCTAAAAACAAGATACATGGTAACAATCCCGTAAATAACTTATATTACTATAATTTCAACTCTTAATCATGGATATTATAGTTATTATTTGACTATTAAAAGCTTATGGATTCATCACAAACGCCGGCTTAAAAAGCCTGTACTATTTTTTTAATAATGGATTGAAAATTTTGGAATATTACCTCAATAGAAAAGGTTCTTCGCGTGGGGAGCTGATGTTGTAAGGCGACCGCCGGACAAAATCACTGACTGAAATAAAAAGGAGTTTATTTATATACATAATAAATAAGAAAAACCTTAAGCTGCGTTTTAAAGTTTAAAATCTATTGCAAAGTTTAGACTCAATATACTGTGATGGATTAAACGGGGATTGAAAGCTGTTTATAGTCCATGCGTATAAAGCAATGCGGGCGAAAAGCTAGAATATCTTATATCACAGGTGAAGTCTAAATACCCCCACTATAATAAAATATTCGAGCAATTATTTTTCTATTTATAACTTTTAAGGCGATTGTTTAAAGTCTCGTACAGAGTACAGTGAATGTAGTAGTGTGTGTTTAAGTAAAAACTGTGTGCACTTTGTGGTGAATAAAGAATTGTCAAGCACAAACTGGCATATAATTTGGAACCCCGTCCCGACACGTAACAATATTTAGTGTACTAGCTATGCCCTTCGGTATTACCCGCGGTTTATTAGGAATATTATCACGCAGTAAAACGTAGCCTATGTGTTAATCCAGGGTGTCAGCTAACTCCATACTAAATTTTATTAAAACCGATCCAGCCGTTTAGACGTGAAGAAGTAACAAACATACACACTCACAAACTTTCGCCTTTATAATATTAGTGTGAGGATAGATCAAAGAGGTATAAGAATAGAGTGAGGAAGGTGGCTCTGAAAGTGTCCGTCTAGTAGAAAGAGAAAGAAGATGAGAGACCGCTAGCTATCTCTCTCTTCATCACATCTCTCATCATCTCACATCGAAATAGTAAGATGCTTACGGTTGCCAACGCGCATGCGCGATTAGAGAGAGAAAGCTAGCGGTCTGTCATCTTCTTTCTCCTTCTATTTTTTATGTTTCGAGTTGATATACCAACTATGATAGAGAAACCATTTTTAGACAGACATGTAATTTTTAAAAATAAGAACTTGAATGAAGCAGATATTTTCAGTGAATCACTTTACAAATTCAAAAGGAAAGTGACTGAATTATTTATTTTTAAGCATTTAACTGCTTGATGTTTAAATCTAAAGAAAAGTTTACTAGAAAAAAAAAACCACGCGGACCAGGCAGCGGGCGGGACTCGAACCCGCACCCTTCGCAATCCAGGCGAATGCACTGACCATTATCCTACCACGGCCCTATTCGTCTCCTTGAAATTTTCCTAGCCTTAAATTGCAAGCTTTTTTTTTCTAGTAAACTTTTCTTTAGATTTAAACATCTAGCAGTTAAATGCTTAAAAATAAATAAAAACATAACTATAATTGGATTTCTTCTTTCAAATGTTTAATACTTGAAAAAGTATATATTTGACATTGTGGGTTACCTACAATGCGAAGAGATGGCGCTGCCTTGCAGCTAGGAAAATTTCGACGCGACGAATAGGGCCGTGGTAGCATAATGGTCAGTGCATTCGCCCGGATTGCGAAGGGTGCGGGTTCGAGTCCCGTCCGCTGCCTGGTCCGCGTGGATATTTTTCTAGTAAACTTTTCTTTAGATTTGACTGAATTATTGTTTAAATAGTAGAACATGTACGGCGGCGATGTATATCATATGTTTACAGTTATCCGTCACTTCTATGCCGCTTGAATATAATAATTATATATCAATTAATGTTACTTTAGGTCTATTTGTAAACATAAATTGTAAAATAGGGTATTTGACAAGTTTTAGAAATCGATCTCACGTTATTGATTAATATTTATGGCGGCCGTAAAAAGATATTCATCATTCTGTTGTGTGTTTCAGTAAAAATAACTAAATCAAAAACTGCATTTTCAAATTACCGCGAAAACGTTTCTCTGGACAATATGGCGTCTTACTAGCGTGTGACGTCACACGACTGTTATTAAAACGTCAAACGATACAATGTAATCTCACTTCAACCGGAAGTTTACTTGCGTGTGACGTCATTTTAGGCTCCGCTAATCCCAAGCGTTTTGGGCCGCGTGACAATTAGTGGGTTTTTAGTAAAAATATGAATGTTTTTTTTTGTAAAAATAGTAAAAACCCCTGCCAATATACATTGTAAACACAGATGCTTACAATTGGCACTTTATTTTTAATACTGTCAAATACCCTATTGTTTGTATAAGACTGTTTGTTAACTAAAATAAAATAAATAAAAAAAATAAAAAAAAAATACAGGGACACTTCCACTTGTAGTAGAGTCTATATCTCCCGGACTCTATTCTTATCGCTCAATGGTATAACAAAACTCAACTTCACTGAAAACTTTTAATGTTTAATTAATAATTAAGAAGACGCAGGGCAGTCGCTCATACGAAACTTTACCATGTCCTTTATAATTACTTATATGGGTTTAGTTTTATAAGTATTCTAAATCACACCGCCAAATTATCGTAAGCGACTCTCGCCAAATTATCGTAAGCGACACTTTTGTCGAAATGCGTTTCGACAAAAGTGTTTTTCGTTTCGTCACCTTGTTTAAGTAATTAACTTATAAATGGGGCGAGTTTAAAGCGCTTGAATAAGGTGATGTGCGATCGTAAATATAGGTGTTATAATGCGATTCAAATAAGAATAGGAAAGCCAATGACCTCTATCTGTCAAATGTCGCTTGAAAAGTACGGTTTGCAAAAAATAACTTGGAACCCTTTTTTAGCACTCCGCTAATTCAAGAATAGAAACCAAACATTTGTAAACAAACAATAACAAATATTGTTAATTAATATCGGTTAATATTTTTTTTCACTTATTGAGCTTTGGCCATGAATGGTTGATAACCTAAATCGTCAACCCAATGTCACTTTAAGTTGCGTTCAGAAACTCGATTTCAAAATTTTCGTTTACATAAAGGATGCATGTTCGTATGTGACCTAGTAATAGTGCATGATTATTCATAACTACTCCGGCGGTAATGCAGAAATGAGCGGAATAGAAGAGCTAGATTCTGATTAATGTTTTTTCTCAGTCTTAATAAATAAATATTAGAAATCGATGTTTTTTTTCTCAATATGAATAATTAAATGTTATTAAAAAAATCTGATGCTTTTTCTCACTCATAATGTTAGTAAATAAGTTTTATTAAATAAAAACTTTTTTTGCTCACTCTACCTATTTGGTTTGAATTGACAGCTATGACATCAGAATATGGCGCTCGGTCGGTCCTATTCTTAGTTGAATCGCATTATAAACGGCTATATCCCGAAGAATATTCACTGTACAAAATATCTGCACACGGGGAAATGTTTGTCATTAAAAAAGTACTGACTGAGTGGCGAGGCCGGCATGGGCATTGGCATTGGCACGCGCAGGTCTCTGAGACGCGCGTCGCGACTCATCGCCGGGCTGGGGCCCACATCGCTCGAGTTACTGAAACAAACAATAAACGTACCTATACTGCAACCACATTAAATACCCTACATCCTGGGTTCCGAACCCGGGGGGTAATTACCCCTCGGGGGGTAAATCAGCCATACTGTGGGGGTAACAAAGAACCTAATTATTTGGTCAAATCTAAATAATAAGAAAATACTATATAATATAATACTACTAAATAGAGCATGCGCTCCTTCTTGCTAGCGAGCCCGCGGGGTGCTGAGTGTGGGAAGCGGGGCGAGATTTTCTCCTGATGATGACATTATTGGAGACGAAGATGTACCGGCCTAACTGGAATTTCTTGGACTGATGATAACATTTTAAAGTCGGGGTAAAATCTGTTTTCCTAATAGGTTACAGGGGTAGCAGTATCGGAAAGGTTAGGAAACACTGCTCTACATATACCAAGTGCGCTCAAAATGTGAAGAAGAGAGAGTGAAAAGAGAGAAGGCAATCAATACGTTGTAGGGTTAACAATAGATAAAAGATAACAATTTGTAGGATAATATAAAAACCATTTGTTAACTCAGCCATTTTGACGGCGATAATGTAAATCAAACAAATTTGAAAGCTTGCCAATGTGTAAATAAGCTCGCTCTCCAAACGGCGACAACACGCATTTGGTGCACGTCAAAATATACACAAATCATACCATGTTATAACGCCGGTCGGCCTTCGCTTTGTTTCAACTTATTTATGAGATAAAAAGCTTAAATAAACAAATCGAAAATCAATACGAGATTGTGGATGGTTTAAGGTTGAGAAAAAAATTCGTATTTTACGAGTGATAGAAGGATTTGTAAAAAATATTGATTTATAGCGGATTGGTTGAGTATAGTTTTAACAACGATATTAAATACCCTAGATACACCACGTGCACTCAAATTGTGTCCCAATCAAGAAGTGCTTGAACACAACTCAAGCACTTCTTAGTTCGCAGTCACGCGCAGACCGTTGAAAAGTCAAGATGCCGCAGAGCTCCGCGAAAAATGCGAAAAAAATACTAATAGTACGTAAACTGTCACCTAATCAATGTTTGTTAATTTAACGTATTTGAAGCAAATTTTGTTTTAATACTTACTATAAACTGGTTTAATAGAAAATATTTGTAATATTCATATGCATGGTCGGTAATATAACCGCCTTGTTTCATTGCGGTCCGTAGCTGCGATATTGCTAACAGCGCTTTTAGATTTGCGGGTAGAGGCAAAGAAATAAGGTCTATATTCTTCCGCATATAGCAATAAGTCGTAAAATTTTGTGGAGTTTGCATTTCAAATTGCCATAGCTCTTTGACGTATGCGTGTAAAATATGCCTTATATTTTTTTTGATAAAAGACAAATTAACATAATAAGCTTGGCGTGTTTGTTGTAGTGTTTATTTATTTTAAGTGCTGGGTAGTGTAGTATGATACTGACTGTTCCCTGAGGATGCAGCGTGCAGAGATTGCCCTCATCTGATGTCGGCGCCGCACCAGGAATCCCATGCGGAGCACCACCACCACTGCCAACGCTACGCATCTGTAAAATAAAAATAATAAATAAATAAATATTTCCAACACTCACACCAATTAGTCTAGCCCAAAGTAAGCACTGTAAGGCTTGTGTTATGGGATGCTAGGGTAACGGATAGAATACATATACTGTACATATGTAAGTATTATTTGTATAGAAATACATATTAAACATCCATGACTGGAGTACAAATGCTCGTATTCATTCATCACACAAACATCTGCCCCCACCGGGTTTTGAACCCGGGACCTCTCGAGTCGGCGACACCATGAAACCCGGCGTACAAACCACGGAGGTCGGAAATTGGCCGTAAATCAAACTAGCCAGAACTTATAAAACCAATTGACTATTAAAACTGTTCAAAATGATACCTTATAAGTTTAATGTTTAAAGCATGTAACTGCTTGATGTTTAAATCTAAAGAAAATTATGACTAGAAAAATTTCCACGCGGACCAGGCAGAAGACGGGACTCGAACCCACACCCTTCGCAATCCGGGCGAATGCACTGACCAATTATGCTACCGCGGCCCTCACGTCGAAATCTTTCTAGCCATTCTTAAGCTGCAAGGCAGCGCCATCTCTTCGCATTATAGGTAACCCACAATGTCAAATGAATACTTTTATAAGTATTAAACATTTGCAAGAAAAAATAGCAATTCTAGTTATAATTTTTATTTTTTAAGCATGTAACTGCTTGATGTTTTCAATCTAAGGAAAATATAACTAGAAAAAAATCCAAAATAAAAATTATAACTATAAACTTAATAATTTTGGAAATTGGCCGTAATTCAAACTAGTCAAAACTGATAAAACCGATTGACTATTAAAACTGTTTATCATCAGCTTTTTAATATCCTGCTTCTTAAGCCACATGGTGGAACAGAACATTAAATAAAACAAGTTGCAACGGGTTAATTACACTGATTTTATTTATTTATTGACGTTTCGCATCCTTTGCAGGATGCGTCGTCAGAATAAATAAAATCAGTGCATCTAACCCGTTGAAACTAATGTTTTTATACTTTTTTAAGCATTTAACTGCTAGATGTTTAAATCTAAAGAAAAGTTTTACTATTTTTTTTCTTTTTTGTTAAATGCTTAAAAAAGAATAAAAGCATAACTATAATTGCTATTTCTTCTTTCAAACGTTTAATACTTGAAAAAGTATTCATTTGACATTATGGGTCACCTACAATGCGAAGAAAACAACGAGAAGGCTAGGAAAATTTCGACGCGGCCATCAGGGCCGTGGTAGCATAGGCCGGATTGCGAAGGGTGCGGGTCCGTCGAAACTTGTTTTAGTTAGGTGTTATTATCCAAAAAAAGACAAATCTAGTATGGTTGCGATGAGGGTATTGACTTGAATCGTGCGGCTCTCGGAGTGGCAGGCTGGTGCGGGGTGGCAGGCTGGCGCGGGGTGGCGGCCAGCTGCCGCTCGAGCGCGTGGTAGCCGGCCAGCACCCGCTGCAGGTACCGCTTCTGCCACACCAGCGCCTTGCGGCAGCTCTCCAGCCGCAGGCAGCGCCCGTGCAGGTACCGCACCTGCCAACACACATAATAACGGTCATTAAATACGAAGACAATAGGGGTAATGACGGGGTACACTAAACGAAATTCTATTTAGTCCGTCAGCTAGATGATCAAAAAATAATGGACACGTATTTTTTCTTTGGGCAATCAACCAAAAAATGACAAAGTCATAGCGCGTCAAAGTTTGGGAGTAGGGGCTCGTGACGTCACTTTTGAGTGAATTTTCCCTTATAAGTGTACTCAAACGTGACGTCATGCGACTTTTCAAATCAATATATCTCTGCAATGTTTATATTATGTAAAAAAAGAAAAAATACGTGTCCAATACTTTTTCATAATCTACCTGATAAACGAAGAAAAAAAAATTGTCATCATCCCTATTGGGTTTATCAAGTATTTCTCAAATTTGAAACTGCTTTGGCATTATCTTTGCAATCCTAACTAATATTATAAAATGCGAAAGTGAGTTTGTTTGTTTGTTACGCTTTCACGCAAAAACTACTGAACGGATTTGGACGAAATTTGGTAAGAATATAGTTTATGACCTGGATTGAGACAGAATGCTCTTTATTCATGGGGTCCATGATTGTGCATTTTTTTTCTAACATCTTGTGTACATTATGGAAAACAATAAAACATTTGAGTATTCCGGAAAAGGTATAAGATTCCTGTGGGATTTTTGAAAAACTTCAGTTAACGTGGCCGTTAGTATACAAATATTTGGGACATAAAAATATCACCGACCCAGGTTTAAGTAGACGACGCATGCGCATGTGTCGTCAAATTGTATAAAAACCGAGTGTTTTATTCAATAAATGCAAAATAAGTGTTGCAAAAGCATGGAACCGGCGATCCGTTTCAATTACATCGTTTTTATGGCACAATAGAGTATTTAACAAGTTTTAGAAAACGATCTCACGTTATTTACTAATGTTTATGGAATCCGTAAAAAGTGAATATTCATCATTCTGTTGTGTATTTCAATTAAAATTACCAAATCAAAAACTCCACTTTTAAGTTGCCTCGAAAACGTTTCTCTGTACAATATGGCGTCTCACTGGTGTGTGACGTCACACGACTGTTATTAAAACGTCAAACGATACAATGTAATGTCGCTTTCACCGGAAGTTTACTTGCGTGTGACGTCATTTTAGGCTCCGCCAATCCCAAGCGTCACGTGACAATAGATAAGAAAACTATTATCTTTTTCGTGGGTTTTTAGTAAAATTATGAATATTTTTTCTGTAAAAATAGTGAAAATCCCTGCCAATATTCATTCTAAACACAGATGCTAACAATTAGCACTTTATTTTAAATACTGTCAAATACCCTATTAGACAATAAAAAAAAAATATGATTGTCATCCGTATCGAAACAGTGATAAAAGGAAATAAAATAGCGCTGAAAAGAAGACTTTTAGTCTTCCCTTTTGGCACGTAAAAGTACAAATACTTTTGGTACGTGTTTTCTTTTTAAAAAAAGGAAACTTAATTATCTTTTAGATACCTACATTTAAAGCTGAATGCCAAACGGTCAGTGCCAAACCAAGCAGTAATTTGCTGTTCAAATTATGTATATAGCACCGACTTCCAATATTTGCTAATTTTACTTTAAATTTACGTTAAAAAGTACTTTGTTATTTTTGGTTTTATAAACTATATCTTCATTCTATATAGTTATTAATTATGAAGTTCGCCTATGTATTGAAGATTAAATATTTTATCAAGTTTACATCCTCAGGATATAGAGTAGAGTCTGTGCGGAAAGAGAATGGGATTTAGATTGGAGGGCGCTGTAGTGCTTTTCTACCGTACCGTATACCGTATATGCAGAGGCGGCGTAAGGCGTGGGCGACGTGGGCCACCGCCTACGGCCTCGCGGTACAAGGGGCCTCGCGCCTCAAAAATTTTAATGCATTTGCTTAAAAGCGTTTTTTCTTTTTTTTTATAAAATCCGTCTTCAGTTCGCCACAGAACAGGGCCTCGCGAAATCTGTCTTGCCCACATCAAATTTAGGTTTTGCCCCGCTACTGCATATATGTAAGGTTTTACCCCTTTTAGACATGATTAAATACAAAAAACCGCAAGAAATCACAACAACAAACATATCCGTATCAATACAAAACTTTGACGTTTTACAGATTGCTGGGTTTGATTGCCAAATAAAAATCTTAATATAAAAATGACTTTACTCGTAAATATAACCGTAAAAAAACAACAAAAAGTTTTGCAACATCCACACGTAATTTTAAAAACAAAAATCTTTCAAACATCGAACATCTTCACGCGTGACGTATGTCAGAGTGCCGTTGCCGCGAAACTGTCAACGCGGGTATACCGTTCTATAGTGTTTAGATTAGTATTTACCACAGCAACAGATGAAATAGAATTAAATTGGTTTAATAATGCTATTATAGCTAATTGAAGACGGATCGTAAAATGGATATCCCGAGCGGCGACGTGCCAAAGCTACCAGACATGGTGTGAGTACAACTCTGCTGTTGCGTATTATTTTGGAGTGTGCACAATTAATGAAACTAAAAGTAGGTGAAACCACCCAATCATTGGCCCTCGTCCTATTATTGGCACTTTTGAGTTTAATTCGATAAACAATGAGACAATAGATTATTCAAGGTCGTTACATATTAAAAAGAAAAACCTAGTATGGTTACGAAATTTGGAAATTGGCAGCATTATTCCTACAATCTATTATTTCCTGGTTTTTTCGAAATAAACTCAAAAGTGCCAATAATAGGAAGAGTGCCATTGATTGGGTAGTTTCACCTACATCCTTTTCCGATGACTTTTCTTAAGAACGGGTAGGGAACGAAAACAGGCCAAGACCTACCTAATGTTTAACGTCTTGACGTCTGCAGATGCAGAAACCACCTCATTACTAAACGTAGACTAAAGTTAAACATGGACTAAAACTGATGCTGTCATTTTGTTTTCTAAAAAGAAAACGAAGACAACATTCGGTTAAAACTGTAACTGTAAGAATAACTGTAGTTCGCGTTTTAGTATAAAGCTTAATATGTTTAAAAAATCAAATTGTAATGCTCATGTTAATTGCAATAATGTATTTTAATGGGGGGGGGGGGGGGGGGGGGTAGAATAACTATTTTTCCCTTTTAACACTGCCGGGTGTAAAAATATTATCCTCCGCTAATTGTATAACGTTACCACTCCCCATTACTATAATAGATCCATTATTCGTATAGACAGCCACTTTACACAACTGTAAAAGTTTTATTTTTATTATATTTGTTTCTTGGGTTTTCACGCACATCACTCATTAAATAAATCAAGTTTCATCGGGTAGTGACATTCGATGTGTGACAGCCCGATCCGTCCAGTAGTGATCGGGTAGTGACAGCCCGATCCGTCCAGTGGTTTGGGCTGTGCGTTGATAGATCACTATGCCAGTCAGTCACCTTTGAGTTATATATATATAGATATGATTACGTAATCTATTGCCGGTAGCATGTGCGGTGATCACCCGTCGTTCACTAAGACCGAGTTGAACGCGAAGGAGGTGCGCTCTGATGACAAGGACAAGCCCAGGGACACGCCTGTCACCTACGCTCGGATCACACCCTCGGTAATACAGAACTATTTTATACATTATCTTTACCAACGAAAGCTAAAGTTTATCTGTCACTGTCCGGATTGTAGCGTTGTAAATATAAATCAATATTTCTATTCGAACACACACCAATTAGCCTAGCCCCAAAATAAGCACTGTAAGCTTGTGTTATGGGATACTAGGGTAACGGATAGAATACTTATATAAGTGTATTTATATAGAAATATATATTAAACATCCATGACTAGAGTACAAATGCTCGTATTCATCACACAAACATTTGCCCCCACCAAAATCGAACCAGGGGCCTTTCGAGTCAGCGACACCAGGAAACCCGGCATACAAACCACTCGGCCGCGGAGGTCGTCGAAATGAAACTAACTTCTTTGTACTTCAAGCTCGTAAACCGCCGCGCTTAAGCAAAGCGTATTTCACGTCCCACACACATTGGCATTATGCTTACAGGCATTCACGCAATTTTATCCTATACCCCAAGCACGATCACTATCGAGGAAGTATTCGTCTCGCCATCGTTAAAATTTCTATGGAAGAAGCTAGTTTAGTATTCCGGCACTGCTTATATTCTATAAAAAAAACATGGCAATACGAATATGGACCGGTTAAAGCCGCTTGGGATACTGTACCTTTAACCCGTACTAATATCGAATTCGAATAGTTAGCGATTGCTACATTTCATTGACAAATTTTGTATGGAACTTGAACAGTAGTGCCATAACGCATATAACGAGAACTAAAAATCAGTACACATTTGGCAATGACATTTCGCACTCGCAAACTATTCGAATTTGATGTTGATTCCTGTACCCTTAGTACGAGTTTTACAATTACGAAAACTATGATAGTTTTCGTGAGCTCGCACTCGTACTAAGAGTACTGATTTTATTGTTTTCGTTTCAATACAAATAAACAGTGTTTAAATTCTATCATTAAATCATTTGCGTCTTCTTAAATTTTAAGTATATTTGGTTACTTTTAACCAAAATGGACATAGAAACATAATTTACAATTACGAAAACTATGATAGTTTTCGTGAGCTCAAACTTTTACTAAGGGTACTGTACTCATCCGACAGGTGTCGTCAAAATCACTATCGGTATGTTTAGGTTACTTCTTTCTCAAATAGCGTGAGCTGTCCCGGCTACTTTTTAATGAGTGTTTGCTTGTCCAGTCGTCGAGATCGGAGCACGAGCATCGTCCGGCCCAGCCCCGTCGGCCCGCGCTGGTGCGCTCGCTGGAAGCGGTGCCGCGCATCGAACCCGGCACCGCCTGCGTCACCAACGACCGCGCGCTGCTACAAGGTACTGAAGGTCGCGGCACCTCACTCTAGCGCTGAACAAAACGCGGAGGGGATAGCCTTTTTTTTTGAAGTTATACTTCTTTAGGCGCGTTATGAAAAAATGATGACA